CGTCGTTCTCATATCTATGCAAACCACAGCGTACCTTTCATCTTTGTAAGACATGTCACAGGGTTGTTCGCGCCGAAGGTTCCCGTCATCTGGTGTGTACCTGACGCTAGTGTCGAGCCGCGGTAAACATGACGTTGGCCGAGCCCCACCATCCCGCCAGGGCTCCAGATCTTTTCCTAGCCACCACGACAACACGCCTCTCTACCCACGTGTACGCATCTCACCATGGCCTCCGCAACGGCAGCCGACATCCAGGGTCCATCTCACCCAAACCCGGAAGGCCTCAACACATCGGCAAGCACGCAATTCCCGGCTGTCAACATCGGCACGCGCAACTCGGTACTCGCCCAGATCCAGGCCCTCGCAGTCGAGCGAAGCTTGAAGGATGCGTACCCGGACCGAACCTTCAACATCTGCCCCGTCGTGGTACAGGGCGACAGGGACAAGATCACACCCTTGCAGCAACTGAGTCAAGGCGAGAATGCGAAGAGTCTTTGGACGGGCGAATTGGAGAGCATGCTGGAGTCGGGCGATCTGGATATCATCGTTCACTGCTTGAAAGGTATGTTCTGGAGCTCGCGCATTGAAGCCTCGAACGAATCGGGCTGACTAGTAGAACAGACATGCCCACACAGCTGCCAGACCACCTCGAGATTGGTGCCATACTCCAGCGTGAAGATCCCCGCGATGCCCTCTTGATCTCCCCACGCCTGCCCAAGGAGACGACGTTAGCTACCCTTCCGCAAGGTGCCACCATCGGTACGTCATCGGTACGACGAGCTGCCACACTGAGGAAGCTATACCCACACTTGAAGTTCGCCGACCTCAGAGGCAACGTCGGCACGAGACTAGCGAAGCTCGATGCCGAAGACTCCCCGTACTCAGCTATCATCTTAGCGGCTGCTGGTTTGAAGCGAATGGGTCTCGACAACAGGATCACGCAGTATCTGAGCAGTACGAGCGGAGGTATGCTTCATGCGGTCGGTCAGGGCGCCCTAGGAATCGAGATCAGGAAGAAGGATGCAGCTATGAAAGACATCTTGAGCAGTGTTCGATGCGAGCGGACGACAAGAGCATGCTCGGCCGAGCGAGCGCTACTACGCACTCTGGAGGGGGGCTGCAGCGTGCCTATCGGCGTTGAGACATCATGGAGAGGTGGCAAGGGCCTCACTATCGGTGCACAACCAGCAAAGGACTACGATATCCACGGAAATGCGGTAGAAGAGGAAGAGCCAGATGTTGACGATCAAGAACTAGTGTTAAGAGCCATGGTGGTGAGCGTAGATGGCACGGAGTCTGTTGAGTACGAGGCAGCCCGCAAAGTCCGAAGCTCAGAGGAGGCAGAAGAGATGGGACAAGAGGTTGCCAAGGTCTTGATCGAGAAGGGCGCCGACAAGATCTTGAAAAAGATCAACGTAGAGAAGCAGTGGGCGGCCAAAAAGCAACTCGAGGAGCTACAAGCCAAGGCTGCCAGCTCATAGATCAACCGCTATAACGATCAATGTATTACGAATCAGTGAAGCACCCTCAGTCGCTGTTCTCGATGACAAGATGCTTTTCCGGGCCTTGCTCTGCTTCACTGGCTAATGAACACCAACATCTGTTTACGTGTTTGCGACCACATCTCTGGAAAGGAGTGCCATCTGAGTATCGATTACTGCCAGCAGACAGGACAGAGCAGAATGTTCACAAAGATACAGACACAGAAAGCTCGTTGGCGAAGTTGTGACTCTTGGCCGCCTCGATATATAAGAAGTTTCGAGTACGCAGAGTAAGACGTTTCTACTATCAACTCCCTCAAACTACTAAGCACAAGCCTTTAATCGCTGGAAAACATATCGTTGAGATCATCTCTCCGCTCCAAAACACCATACCCACGTCATCGTGCGCAAAGCCATATACCAAAGATCATCTCTACCCAAGGACTTCATCAACTTTTACTCCCGACATGTGCGAAGAAAGATGGACTCAGTACAAGGACTGCAACCACGAGCATATCCCAATGAGGCGAACTATACGCTGTCACCGACTCGAAGACGATGTCAACGCAAGGCAGTGTCCGCGGTACAGTCGCGTGCGGCGGACCATCGGGTATCCGGATATGTGCGGCACCTGTAGGGCAAACGGGGCTGTTCCTGACGAGGGATTCAAGGGTGGAAGATGGGATAGTCGGTAGGTTCTACTGGAAGAACAAGCAGAGGGGATTACGAGGGTGATTTGACAGTCATGCGAGGGGGTGTTTGGAAATGTCTAAAATAATGAACAGTTGTTGGCTGACTTGTATCCTATGAGACATGTGCCACTTTTCGATATCGGCAGTAATCAGTCAGAAGTGAGGAAATTGACTTTGACTTGTATGTTTCATTGATTGAGGGCTCCTTGATGGAAAGAGAACGCTAAGACAAGGAAACTGAGGCCAATCAGGTATAACTGAACAGTCTCATTATCATTCCGATACTGAAATCATAGTACTCATCTTGGTCGTCTTGACGATATGGCTTTTTTGTTTGAAGGCGACTTTATTTTAGGAGTGGTGTTGCGAGCTGGCGACGACCTGGACCCCGGGAGCTTCGAGAAGTTTGTCAGCCGCTAAATCACGTGATACCGCGCCTTGTCGCTGGCGGAGTTAACTCTAGGACGCACGATCGGTGCGGCACCTTCGGGTCTTCGCGTTTGAGACATGATGAACATGGTAGCTTGCAGGAACTTCGGGCTCAAGCTCTCTTCTCTTCCTACATCTAACCCCGCTGTCGAATTTTCCGTTGGATATATTACCGCTCTCTCAAGAAATTCGTTGTACCTTGTCCTGAGTGTATCGACTACCTCATCGCCAGGTTCGCTTCGCAGCGACACACGGCGCTCATAGACCCGTACGCGTCGAGAACCCGCGCCGCATCGCCCAACAATCGCTCCAAGCGATATTAAACTCACCGTCTATACTCAATCACGCAGTTCGAACGGAGTCCAGTACAAAAGCATCGTACTGGCATTGCTAGTTGCATCGTTGCTGCCGCCAAACGCGACGCGTGCGCGACACTAAGCCCTGGAGGGCTTGTCCCGCACTAGCTTCGTCCGCAGGCATTGACCCACTTCATTATGGGCATTCCGGGGTGTGTGCGCCTCACGAGACTAGATCAACTAATAGCGTTAACTCCTCACCATCAGTTTACGACGGTCAATCGAAGCATGCGAGGAGATTATACCCATAGCACAGCTTGCCGAGGAGCACTATGCAGAATATGGAAGGCCATTAAAGATCGCGGTCGACGAAGCAGACTGGAGATTTCATTCCGTGTCACCAGCTCAGATACAGGCAATGCGCAAGAGTCAGACAGCCTGGATATTCTTCTTACTGTTAGAGTCAATGACTAACTCCCTGACACAGATGAGCCGCGCTGTAACCCGTTGGAACGGGGTATCTTTCATCGTATTTGCAAGATCCTTCCCTTGAACATCCGCCTCGTGTTCGTGAGCGATGGACCAGATGTCCCACCAAAACGTGGCCGAGATGCTGGACGCCGGGTAGATCGCAAACAACGTGCGCTTTTGAACGAGATCCTGGATGGACTTGGAGTGGCTCATATCGAGGCACCTGGAGAAGCCGAAGCTGAGTGTTGTCGCTTGCAAACTCTTGGTCTTGTTGATGCTGTCTGGTCAACAGACTCTGATTGCTTGATGTTTGGATGTACCTTTTGGATCCGAGATCACCGAATAAGCACAGACACATCCAAAAAGACCCAGCACACTGCCGAAAGCAAGAGGGACGAGAAGCGGGTTAGAGTGGTCCACGCTGACAAGCTCAAGGAGAAATGCCGACTAGATCGCCAGGGATGCGTGCTGTTCGCCATGCTTGCAGGTGGCGACTACAACGTAGGAGGCCTTCTGAAATGCGGTGCTGACAATGCCCTGAAAGCAGCTCAAGCGAGTCTTGGTCGCAGCCTCTGCAGCAGACAAAGCCAAGAGGAGTGTAGCAAATGGGGTGCTGTTACCCTCAGTAACTTCTTCAAGAGAACAGCGCCGGGAATCACTGTCCCTCCAAACTTTCCACGATACGAGCTTCTACAGTTCTACAACCAACCCAAAGTACATTCGGATGACTGGCTCCGGGACCATGCTAGAGAGAACATGGACTACGACCATCCACCTCGTGAGACACATCTGTTCCTCAAAGCGTGTCCGCCAATCAACATGTTCTGGAAAAAGTACCTCAACCAGGTCGGCCCCATACTGCTCTCTCGCATGCTTGCAGCATGGGACGAGCCATTGCCTGGGACGGCTCCGTATGGCCTCACTCTCGTGAACACACGGCAGACGGCTACAACGGCCCAATCATCTCACGCCCCGCTAGAGCGGAAGGTCAAATTCAGAGCGTTTGATGTCACCGAACTGAAAGTACAGGACTTGGCCGCATACGTAACACAGAGAGACAAGCCGATCCCAGATATCAACGAGGCACCTGGCCATATTGTCACTTACGAAATGCCAGCATTTCTCCTACGCAAGGTCTTGCCGATTCCCACACCGACAGTAACGAAGCCTAGTGGAGCAGAAGATTCGCTGAAGCGAAAGCATTCAACCTCTGATAGGCAAGACACGAGTAGCCCAGTTTCATCAAAGAAGATGCGCCAGCCTGCCAAACCTGCGACTCCTGTCACACAGCCCTCCATTACGGTTTTAGGTAAATTCGCATCTTCTCCGATGCAGAGCAGCACTCTGGTCACACCCTCAAAGCACTCACTCCAACATTCACCCTTGGCTTCCACCACATCCCCCGCCACACCCGTAAACCTGTCAGATGACGGCCTGCGCAGACCTCAGCCGCGAGGACCTAGACAAAGTCCGAGTGAACGGTTCGCACTCTTGCTTCGGAGCGTCAAGAAAGAGTGAAGGCGATGTAAGGATTACGTTCACCGAATGCGCATGCTTATATTATGCGAAAAAGGACCGTGGGTATCATTGAATGAAAGTAGCTACAACCGCAAATTCTATGCCATCAATGTCTATTGCTGTGGTTTGTACACCATACCTCCCGTCCTCGTATAAGCGTCTGTGCTCGCCGGCCCAGCCCACCGTCTACTAACCTCCTCTCTGTGCTTGACCTCCCTCTCGTTCTGCACAGTGACGCAGCAACAGCAGCAACATCCCTTGAGCAGATCGCTCCCAAAACTGCCTTCAAGTTTATACGCCCGCCGAATGCGTGTCCGTTGAAGCATAGGGAATAGCCACCACAGTCCACAGGAAAGGCCCATGACCATGCAGTGTCCATTCGTGGAGCTGTGACCAAGCATATCCGTGGGATCTTTCTTCGCGGATTTCTGGGACAGGCGGTATGAAGTGCGGCCGTACAAGATGCAAGGGCAGAACAGACCTGTAAGGCAGGTGGAAGGGTCGGGGCTGCATGCGCAGATGCCGTTTGACCATTCGTGTGATTTCTCTAGCTCCATGTTTGGGTGCGATATCTGGCCTGGCTGGTGTGCAGCAAAATCGAGGCCGTTGGGGCCGTGTGCGGCGTCTGGGGAGAATACGGCGTGGAAGTTGCTGTTCTGGTTCGAGAAACCGTGTGGTGAATAGGGCTCGTTCGGATACGGCGAGGTTCGGAGCGTGGGGGAGGTTGGAACATCTCGCGGCTGTTCTTTGTGCATCGAGTTGGCGGAGATGGGCGTCATCGGTGTCTTGTGTGGTAGCGGCGAGGTTTGATGTGTGCCCGACGGGGGCGTAGGAGGGATGGGCGGCATGGCATACGTCCGGATATTCGTATTGATGGGTGACAGGTTGCTCATCTGCCGAGCGTGCCTGCTCTGCTGAGTCTCGACCTGGGGTATCTGATGAACAGGTTCTGGTTGTGGTATTGGCGAAACTGGGGAAAAGTGTTGCGCTTGCGGAGCATGCTGAGGCGAGTTGGGCGAGACGGGGGGTTTAACGTCATGCGCATAAGACGGCGGCATGTAAGCTGTTTGCGATTGGGGCGGAATGATCGGGAGCTGCGCGTCAAGCATCGATTGGGGGCGAGGGTCGATCGGCGTGTATCCCACTGGCGATGTTGGTAGGGAGATGGGCATGGAATGTGGCATGGGCGGATCATTCGGCGAAGATGTGTATACGAAAGCACGCATTTCTGCGGGTGTCTGCGCATACGAGAAGTGCCGTGATGAATCTGTGTTGACTTGAGGTTGCTGAGGCCGCTGAGGTTGCTGAGGCTGCTGAGGCTGTGCCGGCTGCTGGTATTGCTGAGGTTGATGATACTGCTGAGGCTGATGCTGTGGTGCTTGCTGTTGCGGCTGTGTATAGGCCGGGGCCTCATCCTCGAGAGGTTGTTGCCATGAGAACCTGTTGTGCTGCTGGGAACTCATCTGAGGCTGGAGCTGCTGATTCTGTCCATGCTGTCGGGGATCCATGATGCGCGATTGTTCCTAAAGGAAGTCCACTTGCAACGAGGTGCTTCTAACAGAGAAGACGTGTTGTGTGCTATATCGTATGTGAAACCGGTGTTTACTCTGTCAGCGGGAGCTCCCGGTGGCACAGTCGTTATGAGCTGTTGGCTGTTGGAGGTGAGCTGGAATATGGATGGGATCAAGCCGGGGACCAGGAGGTCTGATATCAGGTCAAAGGGCTGCACGTCAGGTACATGCACAAGTACGAGGTCCAAAGAAAGGCAGCCCTGCATCAGAGCCGCCTATCGCTCCGGTTGGCTCTTGGCCATGCTTCATGTCATAGGCGAGCAGCATAGTGGACGCAGATTCGTAGAGCTCCCGCCGTAAGATGGCTCTCTTTTTAGACTTGCAGTGAGGCGCGGGCTTGGCCAATTGAGGTTGGAGGTGAGGTGTGACAACGCTGTGGAGCGAGTCGGTCGGCGCTTACGGGTGGCTCGGCCCCAACGTGCAGACCAATCACGAGGCCCTCCCCTCCACTACGCGTTTTCGGCCACCGTTCCTGGGTCGCATTTAGGGCCCTTCTCTTGCATCCGGACAAAGACTCCTCATAATTGGAAAACGCCGCAGTTTGAAGAACAACGAGCACAGCCCGGTGGCGCAGAAACTGCGGGTCCGGGATTGTTCACGTGTTTCAATGCGATCGAGCCATGTCCTACGAGTGCAATGCCATGACAGCACTGGGCACGTGGATAAAGACACTGTGCTTGGAACTCCACATGTACCTTCGCAGGTGAGACACACAAAATTCACGTTTGAAGTGGTGACAAGTTTGATTCGGGACTATACAAGGGCGGCGGAATGCGCGCTCGCCGTAAAGGTATTATATGAATCGAGATAGTGAGGGCCGGGACGAGATAAGGGTATGATCTATGCGTCCTTGTCCTGCTGGGCCTTTCCACGCTCCTCCTTGTTTTCCGCGCCTGGACGCTCAGTGGAGACGGTTCCTTGCAGCTTAGCGGTCTCGGCAACGCCCTCGCCCTTTTTGCTCTTCTCTTCCTGCTTGGAGATCTGCGAGGTGTGGTGGGTGTTGTCGTTGGAGAGTCCCTTTTGCTTGCCAGACATCTCGTTCTGGCTCTTGGTCTCGTCCTTACGGGGGTCGGGCTGTACTAGTTAGCGTCCTGTGAGCAATGAGCATGTTGATACACTGACCTTGTCGGACTGGTCAGGAGATTGGCTGTCCTTCTCCTCGCTGTTCTCCTTGGTAGGCTTCTCCGGGTTCTGCTGATCGCTCTTTGGCTTCTCCTCAGACTCATCCTTGGATTCGTCCTTAGACTCGTCCTTAGATTCCTCCTCGGGCTCATCCTCCTTGTTCTCCTCTCCGACGGTAGATCCGGTACCAGTCTTCTCAGCACCTCCCTCGCCGTGTGGGTCGCCAAGAGGGTGGTGTTCAGCGCCGTGGTCCGTGTTCTGGGTTAGGACAATGTAGAGACCAACACCGGTGCCGACGACGGCTGAGGCCATCCTGGATATCTCGGTCAGCATCAGGTATTTGATAGAAATTGACACAATGTATACACAGCTTGGCTGCTTTACAAAAGCGGAATAGCACTTCCACACGCCAACTACTCAATTCGAGGGCTGTGTGCTTCCTAACGGTAACACGCTATATCCGCATTCGCGCTCATCTGCATAATCGAAATGGAATTGACATACCATGGGATGTCGCTGCTCTTAGCCTCGCCCTCGGGACCGTGGCCGCTGGCGTAGGTTCGGCGTTGGACAGCTCGTTGCCATGGCTGGAGCTCGGCAGCGCGGATAGACCTCGCCGGGCGAGCTGCGCGTGCCAATGAAGAAGCGCGGAGAGCAGAAGACCTGATGAAAGACATGGTGAAGCTGTAGAGAGACGAATTGAAGCTCGCGACGGGCAATTGATGGTAGACTCGGAGTTGGGATGCGCGCAAGAGAAGATCACGTCAGTCAGAATTATCGGTACGTCACATTGTGGCCCCTGCTTCCGAGGTCTAGCTCCGCGTTCTTGCATCACGTGTGCTCGACCTCGAAGACTCGCCAACCTGCGCGAGGCTGCAGAGCCATCGCGTAACGATTGTACACGTAGTATCAAATCATTGTTCGTAGAGCTCGCGTAAGAGTGTTTCATCATGCTTTGTGAATGAAAGAAATTATGTGAAGACAATGCCATCTGCTCACACCTGATACAAAGGAAAAGCTGAACACTATAGAGCCTATGTTGACGTCAGGTCTCTACTTTGCATAGCTTGATCTTGATGTAGGCTCTAGGATGTTTAGTTTTCCCTTGTATAAGGTGTTGACGCGTTTGGAGCAGCTCTTGGATACCCTGTAATTGCACAGAGGCCGTGCGCGGGTTGGAGCTCTGAAAGCGACGCAGGCAACAATTGTCCAAAAGCTCCTCCAACCCGGCCACTGGTGCCTCCCTCGCATACTAAAACTGCAGCTCCCTCACAAGCTGTTTCCCTTCTCTCCCTCCCTTCCGCTCCCCACCGCGACTTTGAAGCTGTACAGCACCGTCAACCCCGCCAAAGCTGCCCCGCCACACCACACGCGCCCCAGACTGCGGGCTCACATCTGTGATACCAGACGCGCGAAGTGCTGCAGGCCTTCTAAACACCAGCCATGGCGCCCTCTTCGGTCCCGCCCAACCCCACCTCCCACAATGTCGCCCAGCTGCTCCCCCGCTTCGCCGACGATGACCCCGATTTCCGCTTCATGGCCCTGAGCGACCTGCACGACATCCTCCTCATAGCTCACCCCGGCCTCCTCCTCCACGATGATGTCGTCTCGGCCAAGACGGTCGAGGGTCTCCTCACAACACTGGTGGACACCAACGGCGAGGTCCAGAACCAGGCCATCAAGTGCTTGGGCCCTTTCGTCAACAAGATCAGCGATAAGACGCTGCCTGTCATGATCGACAAGCTCTCTACGCTTCCCACTGGCAACACGGTCGACCAGTCTATACCCGCTATGGCCCTCCGCGAAGTCGTCATAACCCTTCCCCGTCCTACCACCGGTGCTGCGCGCAGCAAGTCGGTACAAGATGCATACAGCGCCATCAGCAAGGTCCTGATACCGCGTCTGATTGGATACAATGTTATACAACCAGCACAGCAGGGCCTGACACAACCGCCCAAGGGCATGTTGGAGTCAGACCTGGAGAAGGGCTCGGACAGCAACGCTCTTGACGTTCTCATCGAAGTCGCCAAGTGCTTTGGTCCTATGTTGCAGGATGTAGAAATCCAGGCTTTGCAGCAGATCACCTTCGCCATCCTCGAAAACGACCGGGCTAGCTCTATGATGAAGAAGAAGTCCGTCACTGCCATCTCGGTCCTGGCTGGTTACTTCTCAGACCAGCTTCTGAGCAGTTTCCTTTCAAAGGTCATCGAACTTCTGCGCGATCCCCACCTCACTCGCAGCAAGCGGAAGCTGTACATTACTATCTTAGGCTCCATGGCCCGATCGATCCCGCGCAAATTCGGACCTTACCTAAAGACGCTGGCGCCCTTTGTCCTGAGCGTCTTGAGCACACAGGAGCAAGACGAGGAGATGGATGTCTCAGACGATGAGGGTGAGCGCGACCCCGAAATCGACGAGGTGCTCGAAGCCGCCCTTATTGCCTTGGACGGGTTCCTTGCCTCCTGCCCGCAAGACATGCGCATGTACACCGACGAAACCATCGAAGCCGCGACGCGCTACCTCAAGTACGACCCTAATCTGGCGCAAGAGGACGACGATGAGGACGATGATGACATGCCAAGCGACGAAGAAGACGCGCTCGAGGGCGATGACTTTGAAGAGGAGACGGGTTATGATGACGACGAGGACGCAAGCTGGAAGGTCCGTAGGTGTGCGGCCAAGGTACTTTACACTCTGATCTCCACGCGGAGTAACGGCGATCTTCTCGACGACGGAACTCTCTATGACCGGGTTGCGCCAGCGCTTATAACACGATTCAAAGAGCGGGAAGACAACGTACGCTTGGAGGTCCTGGCCACTCTATCCAACTTGATCAAGAAGTCGGGTGACGGACCCTCGCCTGTCAAGTTCGCCGACGAGACTCCTCAGAGTGGCACAATGCCACCACCGCCAAGCAAGAAGCGTCGTCGCGGCGGTAGCGATGCCAGCATGTTTGATCTGCAGGGTAGTTCGTCCTTGTCAATGGGCTATGCTTCACCCGCACCAGCTGGCACGCCTCCAGTCGGCCCTCGCGCAAGCTTAGCTAAGATCAGCCCGGAAATCGTCAAGGGCATCGCGCAGCTTCTGAAGCAGTCATCATGCCCGCCTACCACCAAGCAAGCGTCCATCTCTTTGATCAAGGACATCGTCATCACCCAGCGTGGTGGTCTCGATGGGTACCTCAACCAACTGATCAACCCTGTTGTAGAAGCTGCGAAGATTACTGGCGGTTCGACAAGTAGTGCTTCCGCCACCGCTAACACCTTACGCACCCAAGCTCTGCAGTTGATAGGAGCCATCGCCGATACTCACTCGTCTAAATCTATCCAGCCATATGTAGCGGCTATCATTGACGCGCTCCTCCGTGGGGTCAAGGATAAGTACAGCAAGTTGTCTATCGAAGCTCTGGCAGCAACAGAGCAGGTCATCAAGGCCCTCACACCTCCCCGAGCTGCTACAGCAGGAACGGAGAACCAGCAGCATCTAGAGCAATTGTTCGATGCGTTAGTCAACCGCATATCAGCGAACGACGCCGACGTGGAAGTTCGACGGAGTGCTATTCACGTCCTTGGATTGTTGCTTGGTAGGAGCTCTGGTGAACAAGGCCTCCTCTCCTCGTCAAAGCGAACGGCTGGACTTGAACTTCTGGTAGAACGCCTGAAGAACGAATTGACAAGGCTTGCTTCAGTACGTGCTGTTGATTCTGTCGCTGCCCACACCAAGGCGCAAAATGAGTTGTCAGCCAAATGGGTACAGAATGTCGCACTGGAACTTGCTGCACAATTACGGAAAGCCAGTCGCGTATTACGCGGTGC